GATGTGCTAGGGAGAGGGAGCAGTTCAGACCCCAACCTGGGAGAGAGAAAAGAAAAAAAAACTGACTGTCTCAATCACACCTTCCCACCCTAGTGCCCCCACTATAACCACACAGAAAAAACAAAAAAAAAAAAGGCGGACACACATTCACACATACTCACACTCACATCCATCCAATAATCCCAGGACCAAAGACCCGGCGGCACCGGTGGTCAGTCCCAGGATTATCGGATGACTCAATAAGTGAACCTAAAATCCGGATGGGGGGAGGGGAGTGGTGACACCTACACACCAACCCATCTCGTTCCTGCTTCAATGCTGAGCTATCTCTATAGTTGGCTGGTCCTTGGCTAGTCCACGTCTGGTCCTTGGCTGGTCCTTGGAAGTTCCTTGGCTGTGCCCTGGCTGGCCCTTGGCTGGTTCTTGGCTGGGCCTTGGCTAGGCCTTGGCTGGTCCTTGGCTAGTCCACGTCTGGTCTTTGGCTGGTCCTTGGAAGTTCCTTGGCTGTGCCCTGGCTGGCCCTTGGCTGGTCCTTGGCGGGTCCTTGGCTGGGCCTTGGCTAGGCCTTGGCTGGTCCTTGGCAGCCCTTGGCTGGTCCTTGGTGGGTCCTTGGATGGTCCTTGGCTGGTCCATGGCTGGTCCTTTGTAGGTCCTTGTTGGGTCCTTTGCTTGTCCTTGGTCGATCCTTGGCAGGTCCTTGGCTGGTCCATGGCTGGTCCTTGGCTGGTCCTTGGAAGTTCCTTGGCTGTGCCCTGGCTGGCCCTTGGCTTGTCCTTGGGGGGTCCTTAACTGGTCCTTGGCTGGTCCTTTGTGGGACCATGGCGGATCCTTTGCTGGTCCTTGGCTGGTCCTTCGCTGGCCCTTGGCTTGTCCTTGGCGAGTCCTTGGCTGGTCCTTTGTGGGTCCATGGCGGATCCTTTGCGGGTCCTTGGCGAGTCCTTGGCTGCTCCTTGGCTGGTCCATGGAGGGTCCTCAGCTGGTCTTTTGTTGGCCCTCGGCTGGTCCTTGGCAGGTTCATGGCTGGTCTTTCTGTCATGATTTGTCGACATCAAGATCTAAAGAGAAGTGCCATCTCCTGGTCAGACCCTGCAATTCAGTGAAAGGTTGGAGTCAGAGCAAAAACATATGCACCCCCGGGAGAAGGAGGGGGTCATTCCAGTGTTTGGAAGTTGTAGAGACTTTTGCTGGGAGTTGCAGGGAAGTAAGCTGCCATTCGGCTGGAGTTTGATTGGGGGGGGGTTTTTTTCATTGGTTGCTACTGTAGGCTGACACAGTCATACTCATCCATATTTATCTGGTTGTCATAGGTTACTGCAGTTCCAGTCAGAGCGGACATTGGAGAGCAGGATTGATAGGATCAGTGGTTTGTGGTGATTCCTCCTTAGTTTCGCCAATAGCCCGCCTCTGCAGCCCCTCTGTCGTCATCTTGCACTCCGCTTTCTTCATTCCTCACCCTGTCGTGGCCTGCTCCCTGGGCCCGCTGCATTGTTCTCATCTGTTCGAAGCACCCCCGCAGCTTTTCAAATAGTCCAGAGAGTCCAGAAACAACATTTTATGACTGAAGCCCCAGCAGGTGCTGGTGGTCGTAGATGCAGGACAATGCCTAATTTGTAGAGTTCTAAGTGCCGTATTTTGTGGAGCTGTTGAGAAGTGTTTCATGCTGCTGCCTACATGCGCAGCCATGTTGGATGTTAAAACTCCAATGTTTTATTTATTTTTCTTTAATTCGTCAGATAAATAATTTATTTAGAGTTCATAATAATTATTCCATGGTTTCCAGGTTAAAATGGGTCGAAGCCGAGACGTTCATCACAAGTTATATATTTGCTCTATTAAATATGTCATTTAGCACTTTGGTGTCAAATTCATATTGTTTGTTTTGTGTTGAACTAATACCGTAAATCCTCTAATATTGGCCTGTATTCCATTAGCGGCCGGGACTTTAACAAAGGCCGGTCTCACTGTGGGCGGAGGTAAATAATGGCTGGACTCGTATATAGGCCGGGGCTATAATTAGAACCAACGATGTTCCTGGACAGTCCTCAACAACTTCTGATAGTAACACACGAGTACCACAGGGGGGCAGTGTTTGCTAACGAATATAAGCCATTAGCATGGGAAGTGCCATCCTTACACAGAGATCGTAGTGGCCTTACACGATCGTTCTGATCTGAAAGCCACATGTGATCACCGGTAGGTCTGGTAACCAGGCAGCGTTAAAATGACAGAATGTCGTTGGCCTTCGTTGTTCTTAATTTCCCTTTAAATATGTGATACTGGTAGCCTACTTCCACTTAGCCTGCCTCAAATAAAATTTCGCTGTGATGGCAGAACAGTTTCCATTAATTTTTTTTAAACTTTGTTTCGCAAGTTAGTTTGGCCAAGATTCCATTCTGTCTTTTTTTTTTCATATTGCCATACAGAAAAATAGCAGCTGCTGGAAGATGTCTGAATAATGTTCTGTACATCGATATGGTAACTGTAGTTTCTCAATAAATCAACCTAATATTTTATAGATTCAAAGAGACACAATCTGGTTTTTATTCATTCCACTGGTCGTCTGTTTTAATCAAATAGAAATAGAGGCCTGCCTCTAATTCTGGCCTCCTTCCAATAATGGCCTGGACCAAGATGTACCTGAGTGAAATATAGGCCCCATCCTATATTAGAGGATTTACGGTAGTAATGTTTCACACCAACAATTTCAAAGCAGTGCCTGCAAGGTTTGGAAAATGACTTTAAAAACCTGGAGAAATGTGACTCAAGACCTCCTGAACAAACAGGACTTTTTGATACATTCTCCTTCAGCTCTGTCCCGTTCTCTGACCTGATCTGCTACAGCAGCCATGTCAAAGTTTCCTCTTCTTCACACATCAGAGACTCCTTGCCTTCTGCTGCTCAACCTGCCTGCTGATCTTTCAGGTGTCAGGAGGAGTGCGCTGCAGGAACCTATGGCCAGGACTGCAAAGGTGTGTGTGACTGTGCCAACGGTGCACGGTGCTTCAACATCGACGGCAGCTGCCTGTGTGAGCCGGGGTTCAGGGGGCCTCAGTGCAGGAACCCGATGTGTCCGCCGGGGAACTATGGGGTTCACTGTGAGCAGAAGTGTCTCTGTGAGGAGAAGCACACTCTGAGGTGAGGCTCTGAGCATTTCTGAGACACTTTTCTGTCTAAACCATGACACCAAGTACAGTTTGGGGTTTTTGGAGAAAGCATAGATGAGTTTTTATGATGCTGAGATATTAAATGCTAAAGTAAAGCAGCAGGTTCTATTGGGATTCTGAAAATGCAGATAAGAGGTTCTCATTCCTTTGAGCATTTACTGACTTTTCCTTCAGGATCACTGAAATAATTGAGATTTTCAATAATGCCGGACCAGCCTCTAGTTATCCTGATTTTAATACACTTAAGAATGTAGATCAAGCTTCTCATTCAATTAGCATCTAATATCAGTTTCTCCTGGTTATAGGACATGTGCCCTAAAGGACAGAACCCATCCAGAACCTTTTGGGTGGTTCAGTCAACTGACCCGTCTATTGCCTCTTTGCAGCTGCCACCCCATGAAAGGAGAGTGCACATGCCAGCCGGGCTGGGCGGGGCTGTTCTGTAACGAGACGTGTCCTCGTGGGTTCTACGGTCCCGGCTGCGTGGAGCCATGTCTCTGTGTGAACGGGGGCATGTGTGACGGCGCCACGGGACGATGCCAGTGTCCCCCCGGCTTCATGGTGATTCTTCCAATGAGGAGCTTCCTGAAGCTGACCATTCATTCATTCTCTCAGTCATCCATCTATTTATTCACCCATCCATGAATTCAATCACTGATTCATCTATCCATTCACCCATTGGTTCCTTAGCTCATTAACTCATCTATCCATCACTCATTCATCTGCTCATTTATTCCCCCTTTCACTCATTCATTCACTCATTCACTCATCCATTATTTCATCTGTCCTTTCATTAATCTGTCCACACAATCGTTCACTCATTCACCAATCAATTTATTTAGTCATTAATCCATCCATTCATTAACATATTCATCTGTTCATTCACTCATTAAACCCCCTATTAATTCAGCCATTAGTTCACTTATTATCCATCAATTCATTCATTAACTCATTAATCCCCCACTCATTCACCTATCCAAACATTCATCTACCCATTTCTTTGTCCAGTCATTGATTCACCTGTTCATTCATTTTTTTCATTCACTCATTCACATATCCGTTAGTTAACCTTCATTCAGTCTTTCACCTATCCATTCACTCATTCACCCATCTGTTCATTCCCTCTTTCATTCACGAATTCATTCATTCACTCATTCATATAAAGGTTCATAATCATTCACTGGCCAATCTATCATCACTCATTCACCTAACTATTCATTCAATCTTCAATCTTTCATTGTTTCATTCACCTATCCATAATTTCAGTCATTCATATATACATTTTTTTTTCTTTCACCAATCCATTAATTCACTCATTCACATATCTATCATCAATCATCCATCTGTTCATCCACTCAATCATTCAACCACCCATCCCTACATTCACCTATCTATTCATTCAGCCATCCAATCAGTCACTCCTTCACACATCTGGTTATCCACTTATTCATGCATCCATTCATTCACCCATCCATCCATTCATACATTCACATATCTGTCAATTCAGTCATTCATAATCCATTAATTCACACATTCACCCATCCATCATTCGTTTTTTCACCAACTCAATCATCCATCCACCCTTCCTTTCATTTTCCTATCCATCCATTCATTCATTCAACATCCTGTTCATCCACTCATTCAGCCATCTCTTCATCCCCTCATTTACCCATCCAGTCATTCACTCATTCACCCATCCATTCATCCCCTCATTCACCCATCCAGTCATTCACTCATCCACCCATCCATTCATTCACTCATTCACCCATCCATTCATCCCCTCATTCACCCATCCAGCCATTCACTCATCCACCCATCCATTCATTCACTCATTCACCCATCCATTCATCCCCTCATTCACCCATCTGTTCATCCCCCATTCATCCATCCATTCATTCACTCATTTACCCATCTCTTCATCCCCTCATTCATCCATCCATTCATCCCCTCATTCACCCATCTGTTCATCCCCCATTCACCCATCCTTTCATCCCCCATTCATCCATCCATTCATTCACTCATTTACCCATCTCTTCCTCCCCTCATTCACCCATCTGTTCATCCCCTCATTCACCCATCTGTTCATCCCCT